TAGCAGGTTTCAGAGCTCCAATCGAAGCCTTTCAGGGACCGTGCATGTAACAACCCACAGATTCATATGTTTAGTACGGTGTGGGATAAGTTTGGCCTCTTCAAATCCCTCCAGCCTTCCCAGAGATGCCAACACACTTCTCAGATATCCATCCACATGGCAGATTCGATTGCTGGCTGGCTGGCAGAGCTCCGGGCAGAGTGCTGGAGTCAGTTCAGCAGGTCAGATTATAGAGCGCAGCTCATTGTGTGTGTGTGTGTGTGTGTGTGTGTGTGTGTGTGTGTGTGTGTACATTATCCAGCGATGGTTTTGTGTATCTGTTATCTGGATGGCTCACATTCTCCAGACGGAGTTGTAGCAGCAGCAGCAGCTCTGTGTGTCTGCCTGTCTGGGTGTTGTTTTCCAGCTTAGCTAGGAAGTGGGAGAAGGACCTCTCTCTTAACAGCTTTTGAGCAGGAGGCCTCCGCCATATGTTGTTTTATCCCCAGACCCTTCTCAGTTGCTCTGACCCCCCATCCCCTCCCCCCTCAGTGGCCGGAGTGACAGCAGCGTCTGCTCGGTCGTTCTTATCACAGGATCTCTGCTCGATCACCATTTCAAAGGGCACACAATACGTCAGGAAATAAAAATCCACAGTCAGCGCGGCGTTATTAAACCTCCCTGCTGCTTACTACCTCTGCTCTCCGCTCTTTGTTTGTGTTTGTGAACGGTCTAAAGATCACCTCAGACCTGCGCAAGTGCGAACGCGCTGTAATCTACATGTAGAGATGACAAACTTACGAAAAATGCGAGCATGCGTGAGGTCATGAACCGCCCCCCCCCCTCGAGCTGTAGCCTTCAGCTGTCCTCCTCCAACATTTACCCGCTATGTTACCAAATGTAGCTGCAGTTTCTGTGCTCAGACTTCTTCTTTTTTTCTATTCAGATGGAGAAATTTCACCGCTTTGCGAGGTTTAGATGAACATAATTATCGCAGAGAGATTTCTTTTTAAATAATTGAAAGAATAATAATTTAATCAAGGCACAGAAAGAAAAGGAAACGTCTGCTTCTTGCTCTGTAAATGTGTTGACGTGTTTGCTGTAATTAAATTCACTCAGTAATGAGGCACGTATGTAATATTGTATATATGCTTCTTTTTTTTTTTTTTGAGTAAAAGGAAGGTGGAGAAGAAAAAGACTGAAAATATCCTGATAGTGTTTTCCAAAATAAAAAGTTTCTGGTTCGATTGATGCTCACATTGCGAGTAGATTCATTCAAGGCAAGGCAGCTTTATTTATAGAGCACATTTCACTGCGTGGAAACGCGCTCTGCTTTCATTTAAAGTCAGCAAACATGTGAAGTGTACATTCACGTGTTATTTTATTAGGTACGCCTGCTTGTTAACGACCACATGGGAGCAACTCGGTGTAGACGTGGTCGAGACGACGTGCTGAGGTTCAACCTGAGCGTCGGAGTGAGGAAAGGGGATTTAGGTGGCGTGGTTGTTCGTGCCGGTTGGAGAAACTGCAGATCTGCTGTGGATTTTCCCACACAGCCAATGTGGAAAAGAGAAAACACCCAGCGAGCCTCCGTGAAAATGCTTTGTTGATATCAGAGGTCAGATGAGAATGGACTGAACTGCTTTGACCTGAGAGGAAGGTGACAGTGACTTAAGTATTCACTCGTTCTAATCAAGGTACACAGAAGAGCAGATGAAGCAGAAGACCACACTGGTTAGCAGTCGTGTCAGCTGGGAGGAGAAAACCGAGGCTACATTTTGCAAAGTCTCACGAAAACTGGACTTTTGGGTCAAAATCTGGTGACCATGTAAAAGCAGGGCTCCATCCTGCCTTGTATCAACAGTTTACACTGCTGCTGCTGGTGTGATGGGCGGGGACTATTTTCTTAGCACACTTTGTCACTACCTGTTGTTCATCGTGTCCATCCATGTATGACCGCAGTGTACCCAGCAGGATAGCACACCGTGTTACAAAGCTCAAACCAACTCAAACTGGTTTCTTGAGCATGACAATGAGGTCGCTGCACTCAGATGACCTCCACAGACACCAGATCTCAGTCCAATAGATCAGCTGTGCGATGCTGTCATGTCAACATGCACCAAAATCTGAGAAATATTTCCAGCACCTCGTTGAAGAAAAGAAAAGAGAGTCCAACCTCTGCTGCCAAGGTGTACCTAATGAAGTGTCCACATTGAAAGTGTGAAAGGAATATTTTACTTTTACTCCGCTACATTTACCGAGTGAGGCTATGATTTAATTACGTGTAGAAGTATTATTAGAAAAAAAAGCTGTATTTAAACACAATGTGAACACAGGACGAGTGGTTTATTAATAACATTTGAATTTTTCTTTCTCTACATGGAGTACTGAGTTATTGTTAAGAGCACACAAAAGATTATTTTAAGTAAAAAGGTGAAGTGATGTCCTCGGTTTTCAGCCCAATAATATCATGCAATAAGGATCCTATTAGATGTTCTGGAAAGGGAAAAAAAAGCCGAACTGCTCCGCTCCTCAAAACTGTTATTTATTTTCCCTAAAATAAAATAAAAGTACAGATTTTTGGCCTCACATTGCTAACCATTGCAGCAAGCGTTTCCCTGATAAAGACGATGTTTGACGACCTCCCCTGTACCCTTAATCGCTTATTTTGACACCTCAGTATACATCAATAAAACAATCTTTCATTATAGGAACTCAGTTATGCAAAATTATTTGACAAATCTGAATCACTTCTCACTCTCTGTTAAACTATTAAGCATTTATTATAAAGGAAGCAATGGGAACAAAGTCATGCAGCTTTTTTGGGACACAGATGCTCTTTGGCCGATTAGGGAAAAACCTATAATCATGTTTATTTTTGTCATTATTATTTAACATGATTACTCACAGACTGTGGAAAACATAATGGATTCAT